AGCTGCAGCAGCAGCAGCAGCAGCAGCAGCAGCAGGAGCAGCAGCAGCAGCTGATCCTACACACCAATCATCAGCATCTCCTGCTCCTCCTGCTCCTGCTGCTGCTGCTGCATCGGGTTCTGCTGCTGCTGCTGCTGCTGCTGCTGCTGTTGCTGCTGCTGATGATGCAGGTAGTATATGCGGTGGGGGCTTTGCCTCGCTGGGGTGTACGTACACCTCAGCTGCAGCTGCTGGTGATGGATTGATGGGATCTCTATCCCTGGTCATTCTTTTTCTTTTTTTTTTTTAGTGGCAGTTGGGGTGTATAGGCAGCTATTGCAACAAAAATTATTTAAGGAAAGAAGAAGCACGAGCGAGCAGGCTGGGGTGTACATACACCCCAAACTGAGGCCTCAGGGGGGGAGAGAAAGAAGCAGAGAAACCCAACAGAAATTCATCTACATATTGAATTGAGGTGTACGTACACCTGAACTTGTATATACAGTGCACGCGCGAGCTGCTGCTGCTAGCTAGAGCGGAGAAGAGAGGGGGAGAGAGAGGTTTAATAGTGGAATTTGTTGTATAATATTATTTTATTTTATTTAATTTATTTTTTTATATTTAAATAAATAAAAAATAAACACGAAAGATTGCGTTTCAGTGAGGGCTGCGGGTGAGGTCACCTTGGCGTTCTCTGCGTTGGGGTGTATAGGCAGCTCTCGAGAATAGAGAAACGAAAGCTAACAACTAAATAGTTTTTTTAATTTCTTTTTTAAAATATAAAATAAAAATTAATTTATTTTATATATTTCTTTTCTGCGGAGATTTCAACTCGATAAATATACTACAACAAGAAGGTCACCTCACCGCCTCTTGCCTATCTGAGTTTGCTGCTGCTGCTGCTGCTGCTGCTGCTGCTGCTGCTGCTGCTGCTGTTGCTGCTATTGCTGCAGCAGCTGCTGCTGGTGCTTGTCTTGGTGTTTCTCAGGTTACTGTAGAGATAGATAAACCCTTTTTACAGCAGGTATATAAACTTTTTTTGTCTCCGTATATATATATATATAAATATATATATATATATATATATATATATATATATATATATATATA